AGTTCTGCGCTGTGTTTCCCACCCCTGGAACAGGAAAACTGAGGAATGTGGGGGTGCTTCCTAATGTAAGACCCTTAGAGGTGTGGGTAGACGCCACCAGCCTTGCATCTTCTCCATGCCAAGTCCACTGAAATCACCTCCCTGTCCTGACTGCCTCCCCATTAAGGTTGGGCCATAAAAAGTGCACTGGCTGATCGGGAGAGATGCCAGATGAGCTTTCCTGCAGCTCACTGTACAGGGCTGAATGCCAAGTGCTGGCACTCCCAAAGGAGTTTGGACTTTTCAGGACAATTTGTTCTCCCAAGGAGACCTGGAGGTGGCACAGGAGACAAGCAGGCAGGATGGAGGGTTGAAGGTAGGACACATCCATCTTCTTCCCATAGGCCATTGCTAATGCTACATGCAGGCAACTTCTGCCCTGGGGTTGCTGCCTTGGGTCAGAGGATGCCCTCAACAGCTTTTCCCCAGTGAAGAATCTCTCAGTGCCTGTGTAATGTCTTGTTTTTGGTGGCAGAGCTTTGAGCTTGATCTGGTTTTTGCAGAGCTCAAAAGGTTTCTGTGCTGCCCAAGAGTGTCGGTGGGGAGTGATGGGGTATGGAAATCTGAAGTTGTGTGTCTTCCCTCTCCTTTCCCAGTGAGAATCCCTCTGACCTGCGTGTAAAGAACCAACAAAAACCACTTTCTGATCTTCTGTGATATGAACAGCTTCCTCAGCTCTTTGCTTCGGCTCCAGACCTGGCCACAGTCAGCACTGGGGTTGGGAAAAGCCTTTTTAATCTTGATAAACTTTCTGATCCCAACATAAATCTTGCAGTGATGACAATGGGATTGTGGAGGTGCCCTGATGGGATGTGACACCTTTTTGCCAGGTTCTTGGGAGCCCAAAATACGAGCCAAGTTGGAAGACAGGAAAATTCAGTGTTCCAAAACAATCATAATTTCTCCTGAAAATCACTTAGCAAGGCTTTTCAGCTAGCACTTGGTCCCTTTGAGCAGGCAATTTTCTGCAGGCTGGACTCCTCTCCATCCCTAGGCTGCAGTGGGAGGAAGAGTTGGAGTCACTGTGCCTGGAGAATTTAAAGACCCGTGGAGTTGTGGCACAGAGGGATGTGGTCAGTGGGCATGGTAAGGGATGGGTTGGGGATCTCAGAGGTCTTTTCCAACCTTAATGATTCTGTTTCTATGATCCATCTGCACATAGCCCAGAACCCAGGGGAGGTGACCTCCATGACATCTCTGTCATCTCCTCTGCCCATCAAAGCCCTCAAACACGGCCCCGTGATCCCAGCATGAACCTGAGGATACGAGAGGCTGGATTCTGTTGTGTGCAGCAATGGGGACATCTTCCTATTGCACCACAGCTTCTGGTGCTTCTCACCCTCCCTCCCAGAGCTCTTCAGTTCACAGTCCCATTCTGTTTTTGATGCCAGCGACAAGAGAGATATCCCAATTTGTGGGCAGGAGGCAGGAGGAGTCACTCCCTTCAACAAAACAGGGAGAACAGTGCTTCTGCCTGGACTCTTGGAAAGGGAACCAAAGAGAAGAACACCCAAACTGTGGTGGAACACTTCAAAATGTCTGTGCATCTCTGCCTTTGAGATGGCTTTGGTAGGATGCCAGAAGGACTTGGAAAGCTCACAGGGCACCGGTGTGTTGGTCTCACCTTGGGGAAGCCATGGTCTCACCCAGTGTCCTCACCTTCCCCCTCTGGGATGCACAGCTATGCATGGCCTTGATGGAACTGCTCTTCTTGATGTATTTTGAAGGCCTTGGCTGTCTGGGAGGCATCCTAATGTTGTTCCTCTGGTGGGATCTCATTATGTGATGAGCTGAACATCTGGATTAAAATAGATCAAATAGGCACTAAATCCTAAATAAGCCTGAGAGCTCAGTGGCAGCCATATGCTTCCTACTGAAAAGCTCCAAAAAAAAAAATCTCTCCTTGCCATCAGCTCACACTGCATACGGTGTTTTATGCTCCTCCAACCCAACTCTGGGACCGAACTCTTCTGCCCTTCCTCCCCAGCCATCCCTGCTTGGCTGTCCTCTGAACCTGTAGCCTCTACCTCAGCAGGGCTGGCTGAGGGCACACTGAGCTCTGCTGGTGAGAAGATGGGTGGGCACTGACACCCTGCACAAAGCATTTGTGAACAGGAGGCGGTGGAGTCCCCGTCCTTGGAGGCGTTCAAGAAAAGGGTCAGTGTTGTACTGGGGGACATTGCTTATGGGCATGGTAGTGATGGGTTGATGGTTGGCTTGAGGATCTGAGTGGTCTTTTCCAATCTTCATGATTCTATGATTCTGTGTCCTTAAGTGTCCTTAAGAGGAAGCTCTTCCTGAGGGCTGAGCCCTCTGTGTTCCTCTTGACTCCAAGAGAACACAGCTAACAAAACATTCCCATGTTCCATGTTGTTCCAGGATTTTTTTGCTAGCTGAACCCATTTTTAATCCAACCATGAACTGTTAAACACCAAAGCTCTGCATGAATCAAAGAGTCGTTAAAGGTGAAAAGACCTCTGAGATCATCAAGTCCAATGCCAGCCCACCCCCAGCATGCCACTAGACCATGTTCCTCAGTGCCACATCTATCTTCTCCTTGAACATTTCCAGGGTCATGGTTAGTGGGCACGATGGTGAATGACCTTTGGACTTACTTAGAGGTCTTTTCCAACCTCAGTGATTCTGCAATTCTTGTTTGGGGAACCTCATAGCATAGAAAATAAGGCATGGACATTGCCTCAGGTCATGAGCCTTATTGAGCTTAGTAAGACAAGGCCAAAGGTCTTGTGAAGTCAAAGTCCTCTTAATGCTCTCAGCCCCACCAGCACATTGCCCAGTGCTCAGATAAGTGCTGCCAATGCAGTCATGCTGCTGGCATCTTGCTTGCATGCAGCTTTAGCCAAGCTTTTGGCAACAGGGTGGTTTCACCCCAAAATACCCTGCCAGATGGCAAAGGTCAAGCAGAAATAAGTGATCATATTATAACCCAGTCTACTGGCTGATTGGAAAGAAGTGTCAGCACTGGTGAGAAGTTATCAGCAGTGATCCCAGCACCAGGGTGACAATTCCTAAAATTTTGGGGTGCTGGTGACTTGCTGTGACCACAAAGGAGAGGCAAGCATAGTGATGCAGGAAGGGATGGACGGCAGGAAGTCTGAATATAACGGTTGTAATTGCATTATTAATGGGAATTTGCACTAATTGGATAATTTGAATGCTACACGTTGGCCTCATTGCAACAAGGCTAACAAAAATTACTCGCTTTATCTGGATGTGGTTGTTAATGAGGCTAACACCAAGCTCCCCACTCTGTGCATAAGGTCTGTCCCCTTTGCCTGCCACCAAACTTCAAAGATAATAATCTGGAAAAGTCACCTGTGCGTGGAAAAATAAGGGCACCCACAACCGCAGCTGCCCACAGAAACCCTCCTGTCCTCTCCAGGCCCGGGTTTTGCAGGAGGATTAATAATGGGGTGAGTGTGGGGGTCCTGCAGGTGCTCCTTTCCCCACACTACCCATGGTCACGGTGGCCCTGGGAGACACGAGTGGCAGCCTTTGTGCTGCCATGGAGCTGCTGGAGAGGTCAGAGGGCCCCATTTGGGCTGATGCCATTGGGCAGAAGGAAGGATGCAGCACCCACCATCGGGTTGCACAGCCTGGAGGAACCACCATTTCCAGACACATTTCTCCACGCTGCCCCAGCTCCCCGTTTTTTGGCAGAAGAGCCTGGCTGTGCTGCAGTAGCACAAGATGGACACGCTTCTTTCCCCCTTCGGGCAAGATCCCCATGATTTTACAGCTGATCTCCCAATTCTTTTCGAGGGGAAACAAGAGGAAATGACATACCCCAGGATGGGAATTACTAAGTCAGGAACTCCCCCAGGCTTTGTTTCGGCTGGTGAATGTTTTCCTTCACCTTCCCCCTCCCCGCTTGCCATTCCCTTGGCTTGTTGAGAAAGGTCTGAATTTCAGGGTGGTGGGGGAAGGGATGCTCTCCGCGCCGCCTCTCCTGCCTCCGGTCGTGTCTGCCGATCCCTTCGCTGTGCAGGGTGATGCTGATGTGGAGTGACACTCGACCGCGCCATGCAGGGAGAGGGCAGCCCCTGCCAGCGCTCCCCCTCCTGCAGCCAACGTTGCTCGGGGAGCTGACCCCTTGGCGGGGTTGGGGTCGGCACCCCACTGCCCCCAGTAGGGTCCCCAAGATGTGGGGCAGGGCAAAGAGGGTTGGAGTAGGGCTGGGAAAATGTGTGTCTGCTGGTGAAGATCATCCTTTGAGGTGCTGGAGGGCAGAAGGAATCCTGAGGCTTGGGCTGACGTGGCTTGCAGATTTGGATGATAGGCTATGGGAGATGTAGCCAACAGCTGAGGGCTAAAGGTGACCCAGCCTCCATCCCCAGCCTCTTTTTATCCATACCCACCATCTATTCTCTGTTCCATCCTCCTCTTCTCCATCCCTGTCCTCCATTCCTCCATCCTCAGTCTCCCCTTCTCCATCCCCATCCTTGCCTTCTCCATCCCCAGCCTTCCCCTCTCCATTACCAACCTCCATTTCTTCATCCTCAGCCTCCTCTTCATTTTCAGCCTCTCCTTCTCCATCACCACCCTCCATTTCCCCATTCTCAGCCTCCTCTTTTCCATCCCCAGACCTTTTCTTTTCTAGCCATAGCCTCTTATTCCTCATCCTCAGCTTCCTGGTTCCTTCTGTTAACCCTGTGCTTGGGAAAGACTCACTGTTAGCTACCTCACTCTGCTCATCTGCCAAGAGCTTGACTTGGCTGCATACATCCCAGCTCTGTGAGACACCAAGGTCTGTGCTGTGAAACAGAAACCAGGAGGAGAAAAAGCAGAGCCTCTGTGTTTCCACTTCATACCCAAGTTCAGTGCAGGGTCTGAAAACGCCAGCTGCAGAAAACAGACCTGATTTCTCACCCCCGAATCAAGAAGACACAGGGCAAGGGACATGACCTAGTTTTCAGTGGCAGAATTTAATATTTGCCCTGCAAGGAGAGCCAACCCAGCTTCCTCTCCCTCCTGCTCCCCGGCCAAGCAGAGAGGCTGGCCCACTGCCTTCCCACCGGCATGGGACAGAGGGGAAAATCTTACAGTGCAGCCTCATCAGAGCCCAGATGCGCTGCTGATTCATCCAGCAGGGAAGCATCTGTTTCCTTCTTGTTGCTCTATTTGTGTTCAGCTCCAATGGCACTGGGGAGATGCGCTCCTCAGGATAGCACTGAGGGGAAGGAGCACCCCATCCCATGTCCAAAAGTTGTAGAATCATGTAATTATTCAGTTGGAAGGGACCCTTAAAGGCCACCTGGTCCAACTCCCTGCAGTGAACAGGGACACCCACAGCTCCATCAGCTGCTCAGAGCCCCTTCCAGCCTGACCTGAATGTCCCCAGGGATCACTTCTCTGGACAACCTGTGCACAAGCATCACTAGTCCTCATATGGCGTCGTCTGAAACCCAGAGAGGAGTTTTGCCGGCCTGAATGAATGCGATGGCCTTCGCAAAGCAGCAAGGGACAACTCTCTATGGGATGCTTGATGCCCTCATTCAGGTAATTGTGTGGATATAATTTGATTATTCCTTCCTAGTTGTTTAGCATCACAAAGGGGAAAGCTGCCCTCCAAGATGAGCCCGTGGGGCCACCACTGTGAGAGCGGTCTGGGGAAAAAAGCTTCCTTTGTTTCACCTCGTGATTTGTTGAATTATATAGGGAAAGACTTGGGTTGCTTGTGGCACGGTGTTTCCAGGTGTGGGCATCAACCTGAACCAGCTGGAGGCTGCACAGAGGCTTACCAGCCCTTCCTTACCACCAATCAATGAGAAACAAAGAAAATTTGGATGGCTCCTTCAATCAGTTGAAGATGTTTAGGAGCAGCAGGGCACTGCAAGAACACCTCAGCTGACATAAACTGTGTTGGTCCTCACTCACTATAGAGCAATCAATGGCTGTTGCTGGATCCCAGATGTGTTGCTCCTGAAACAAAGAGGTTGGGCTCTTCTGGAGAAAATGCAAAGCTCAGGCACCACTTTTGCCTCAGGGCTGATGGAAGTTCACAGGATCATTAAGGCTGGGAAAGGGCACTAAGATCATCAAGTCCAACCGTCAAGCAATCACCACCATACCCACCACATCCCTGTGTTCCATCTGCCCTTTTCTAGAAAGCCTCCATGGACAGTGACTCCATCACTGCCCTGGGGCTGCCTGTTCCAGTATCACTCATTCAGGGAAGACATTTTTCCTAATATCCGACTTGACTTACTTTATTTGCTTTCCAGTGCAGACGCCAGAATCAACACAGAAAGCAGGGCAGTCTTCTGCCAGGGATAAAAATTCATCCTGTGAAGTGAAGAAGTTTCAACAAGATCCATAAACTCCTAATCTGGCTTAGCAAGAGTGAAATCAGACTGAGAAATAGCTGGGATTTTAGCTGGGGGTGTTTTAGCAGGAAATCTGATGGCAGATGTGTGCATCTGTTGAGTGTGTGTGTATACACAGAATGCAACAGAGGTTTTAGAGAACAATGTTGTACAAAAGAAGAACAGCATAGGTTATTCCTTATCAAAATAACACTGTGAAGATGACTGGGCTGGTCGCCTCCCTCCAGCTCAGGCTGCCCAGGGCTCCATCTAACCAGACCTTGAGCACCTCCAGGGATGGAGTACCCACAGCTATTTGATCAGCAGTGCCAGAGCCTCACCGCCCTCTGAGTAAAGAATTTCTACTTAACACCTAATCTAAATCTCCCCTCTTTTAGCTTAAACCCTTTGTCCTATCACTGTCAGATCACGTAATAAGTCAGTCGCCCCACCAGGAGATGAGCAAGACATTGGCCAACCAACTCAAGAGGCTTTGGGCCATCTTATGAGCAGCAGATCCCAAATCAGAACTGCTGTGCAGGGGAGAAGCCATAAAAATGCTGGACCTGGAAGTAGCAAGGGGGAAAGAAATCTTCATGCAAGGGAGCGAAGGAGGCAGCTCAGCAAGTCGCTCAGGACCCAGAGCGGTGCCTGGCTAAGCTGGGGCTTTAGAGTGATTATAAGCGGCTTTAAGAGCAGCGAACGCGGGAGTCACACACAAAAAAAGTCAGCAAGGAAAAACAAACAGTGTCACTGGTTACGTAAGGGATCAGAGAGGCACTGAAGCGGCAGCCGGCAGCCACGTGCGCTGCCCGGGGTTTTCCAAAGTGCCCATAACGCACGAGTGGTCTTTTGGCCCATTAAGGGTTGAGGGGAAGATGCAGAGAAGGGTGAAAGGAGGTTTGAAGATAGGTGGCAGCTCGTGTGAGAGTGCTGACAGAGCGGGGTTTGAACGGAGCTGCAAAACCAGGAGTGGTTGGGATTATAGAATGGTTTGGTTGGGAGCTGTAGAATGGCTTGGGTTGGAAGGGACATTAAAAATCATTGAGCTCCAACCTCCTGCTGCAAGCAGGGCTGTCAGCCACTGGATCAGGTTGTCCAGGGTCCCATCCAACTTGCAGGGACGTCTCTTCAGTATCCCATCCATCCATCAAGACACCCAGAGCTAGGAACCCAATGCTCCACCAAATGGGATGAGAGTAGGGCAGGTCCAGGCTGAAAAGGGAGCGGATCCTCATCACGTGCACTGAGCTTAAACTGAGGAATCATTGCTGCAGTACAAAAAGAGTTCACGTGGATCCCAAATCTGTAGCACACGATCGTCCAGAAAAGACTCTTCCACCTGAAGATCCCACCTCTACCTTAGAATCATACAATGATAGAAGCACACAGCTGCAGAACATCCCAAATTAGAAGGGACCCACAAGGATCAGAGTCCAACCCCTGGCTCCACACAGCACCACCCAAACCCTATGGCTGAGAGCAAGGTCCCAGCGCTCCTGAGCTCCAGCAGCTCAGGGAGAAGCACCAGGACTTGAGCAAACCCACAGCAACACTGACCACAGCAGCAGCAGAGTTGAGCGGAAGCAGCCAGAACAACATGTGCTGAGCCCATTTAACAGACATCCCCTCCAAGACAGACACCCTGAGCTGTCTTTTTTTGTTTTATTTTTTTTTTTCTATTGCAAAGATTAATTTCCCTGGTTGGAAAGTTTGTGCAATATTGCATCACTCCGTTGTTTGGCTTGGCCAGTGAGCAGTAAGCACCAGGACTTCAGCTGGGTTGCTTGACTGGAGCTGACCCCATAAATAGCAGTGAGGTGGGGAGATCTGCATGGAAATCCATCCAGGACAGCAGGGGCCAAAGGCACCTCTGGCTTCGTTGTGTTGCACTCCTGTAAGCAGTCTGCAAGCAGTCCCTCTATTTGGAGAGTGGTCAGTTACAAAGAGAGGTGATAAATAAGAGCTGAGAGATGTTTTCTTTTTACTGCCCTATGTCCAGGAATCTTGCTTCCTAAAAGGGAAATGAGGAACGCACAGCTCCAGGAGGGCTGGCAGCAAGTAAACCAGCAGCCAGCATCTTTTATAGGAGGTGGAGAGCAGAGAGTTGGCCATATATAGTCACTGGGGTGCCCACAGGACCACGTGGGCAGGAAATCATGGAATGGCTTGTGTTGGAAGGGATTGTCCACTTCCAACCTCCACACTGTAGGCAGGGTTGCAGACTGCTAGATCAAGCACTAAACGAGGCTTCCTAGGGCCCCCCATCCAACTTTGGCCTTGAACACCAAATCAACTGGTCACATCCCTGATCATTTAGCTTGATTTCTCTTTGTGGCAACCTCAGCACAGGAGAGGTCTCATGGGAGTATCTCAGAGCTGCTGTGTGCCTCAGTTTCCCCTGCTTTGAAATAGGGCAGAGAAACACCTCGTGTATGCTGAAAAATATGCAGAAACAACTCGGATGAGAAGCAGAATAGATAGTTAGGAGGAGGCGTTTGCTTGCTGCATGAAGTTTCAGCTTTTCATTAAAGCACAGCCAAAAAAGCCTCATTTAGAAAGGATGATGAGGAAAGGTTTCCACTTCTCCAGCTGGACAGGAAGGTTTGCCTCCTAAAGTTGCCACCCAGAGCTGCTGGTGGTCTCTGGAAGAGAGGACAACTCTCACCACCCCACCCCTCTAACAACACCTTCTTTGAGGTCTGATGTGGCACCATCCAGCCATGCCCAGGAGGTCAAGGGACCACTGAGACAATAATCGCTTAATGATGGGGCATGTAATAACAGGACAATAATCCTCTAATGGTACTAAAAGACCTGCTGAGCTAATTGTGTTCTCCAGGTGAGCGTTTTGCCTTCTGTCGTGCCATGTAATGATTCCCAGCTTTCGTCCTCTGCTCACGTTGATGTCCCAAATGCTGTAACTTTTGTCAGAGCTACACTTTCCCATCCACTCCCAGCAAGCACCATCCTCCTTGTGGGGATGTTCCGTGCCTCCAATCTGCCCTTGTTTCCCTCGTGGCCAGGGGGAAGCAGAGCATCATCCCTTGGCACGGGCAGACAGACAGACCTGTGGTTTCTACGGCAACCAGTTCAGGTGTCAGGATGCTGATGTGGGGGGGGATGGGGACAGTAGTGAGGATGGGGATGTAGATGTGGATGCCTCTGGCCCAGAGGAGGACCAGGATGTTGGGATGCTCAGGGGCTGCGCTCTGCAGAGAAGCAGCGAGACAGCAGTGCTGGAAATCTCTGGCAGATGTCAGCGTGGAGCTGGGAGCAGCCTCGCCCAGCGGGCTCGGTTTGGCACGTCTCAGCAGTGAGCTCATGTCTCCTGCAGCCCTCGGGACACGGCGGGGCTGGATGGAGGACTGGACAGACACAGTGGTTGTCCTGCTGGGAAGGTCCTGCAGCCTCCTGCAACCTCACCACTGGGCTGCTCCCAGCCCGGCTCCATCTCGCCCATCCCAGCCTCCAACCTCTTTTGGGCTGCAATCCTTAACAGGCTTCCTGAATCCAGGCCAAAATGTTGTCCTAGAGACTTCAACACAGCATAGCATGAGAGAGGGATTTGGATCCCAAGTAGCCCTGGAGAGGAAGAAAAAAAGTCCTTGCATAAGTGAAGGTCTAGTGCCCTGGTCACAAGCTTCTGCTTTGTCCAGGGTCAGTGTTGGGTCCACACAGGGTCTGACAGAAGGTTTGAGGAGCACAGGTTGGAGGCAAAGCCCTGCTTCTGTGGCCTACAAGGGACAGAGGGGAGCAGTGCCTGGGGTTCAGGAACAGCATCGTGTTCTTGGAAGTGCTGGGCTGACCTATGATATGACCATATGACCTATGATTCTATGACCTGGGGTCGTTCATGCAGTCACATGCAGGCTCTCTCTGATGTAGCTTCAGACAGCAGCATGGACTATTACTTCTCCTCACCTCTTCACCCACGTAACAGTGATAGGAGAAGAGGTAATGACCTTAAGTTGAGCCAGAGGAGGTTCAGGCTGGATATTAGGCAACATTTGTTCTCCAGATGTGGTCAGACACTGGCACAGCTGCCCAGGGAATAGTGGGGTCACCATCCCTGGAGATGCTCCAGAACAGTGGGGACGTGGCACTGAGGGACGTGGTCAGTGAACACAGTGGGATGGGTTGGGGTTGGACACGTGGATCTCAGAGGCCTATTCCAACCTTAATGTTCCACAGTGATGTCATTGTGTTCTGCAAATACTGTTTTCTGCTGCCTACATAAGCAGTTTACTTTTTATTCTAGCCTTCTATTTATCCAAAATGCCTTGGTATGCAGGAGAGAGACAGTTCTCTGGGATGACTGCATAAACTCAGCATGAGTTCTTTCTGCCAGTCAGGCAAATAATCTCAGCAGGGAGAATGAGAAAGGAAAAAAACACAAAGCCATGCAGCATCTCTCAGGAACGGGCCTGGTGATACGGGGCCATTTGGGCCATGTGTCCACTGTGTTGTGAGGCCTCTGAGGTGAGAGCTGTGAGCATGAACTCCAGCTCCCACTCAATCATTAAGGTTGGAAAAGAGTGCTAACATCATCAAGTCCAACCCTCAACCCATCGCCACCATCTCCCCACACCCAGAGCAGAGGTTGGCACAGTTTTGTATTGGATCCCAGCAGCTTTCCCCAGGTCTGTGTTTGACAGGCACCCTCTCCATCCCTTAGGGATAAGGGCAAATCACCGCTGACAAAACCTTTTGTAATTACAAAAGGAAATAAGGTGGGACCTACCCAATGCTTCCTCTCCAAGGAATAAAATGCTTATACTGAAGAAACTCAAACCTATAAAGAGCCAGAGCCACCTGACAGATATCTATAGGCCCCCATAGCCCATGATGTGCTGTTTTTTTTTTTCCCCCTACAGAGCTGTATCTGCTGTGTTAGGCCATAGCTGTGACATGAAAGCACAGCAAATTCAGCAGCCAGAGCAGCTCAACAGAAGGGAAACACAGGGTTGTGCTGCATCAGGTCCAGGGGTGTCACAGCACTGTCAGCACCTCTTGCTGGAGCTGCAATTCCAAAGGGAATGATCCAGAGAGAAGAGCTGGGGCAGAACCTGTGTCACTCACTGGCTTCAGGCTTAGAGCTGGCAAACAGCTCAGAGAGCAATCTGCTAAATAACATTAGAAAAGGGCTTTAGAGAGCATCAGGTTGAGTGGCCAAACGTAAAGCATTAAGGGAGCAACCAACCTTAAGAACCTCTTTCCAAAGCTCCTTTGCCTTCCTGGAGGAACTCTTCGGGCCGTGCCCATGGTGACTTGGTTACGCTCAAGACAATTTCATTGCAGCCTCTTGGTGCAGGCTGAGGTCCCAGAGCTTCACCCCGATGCGTGTGCCCCCAACCACTGAAGGACAGGTCCCTAGTGACAGCCAACATTTCATGGTGCTAACTGCAAAAAATCCAGCGTGCAAATCTCCAGCGAACGGCCACGATGCTGTAGCAGCAAAATGTTGTTAGCATGCCTATTAGTGCACGCTAATTAGCTCCCACCGCTGCTCCTGCCGCAAGCTGGAGGATGGATTATGCCATATGCACTAAGCAGCTTAGTTTGGGTGGCAGCTCACAGAGAAGCAAGGAGCAGAGGAAGCGGCCAGCTTACCGAGCTCTGCACATCAGCTGTCTGTGAGCAGCACGACAGGATCCAAGCTACGGCTTGCAAGTTTTGCAGCAGCTTTTCCCTCCTGCAAAAAGGAAAGAGACTGATTCAGCAGAAACACCCTGCTTGTCACCTCCATCACGTCACCGTGCTGCCAGGCGAGGAGCAGAGCAAAGACAAGCAGGCAGAAGGGCTACTTGCTGGGAGGCGATGCCTTTCCCTGTCCTTATGATCAACGCCCCCAGCCCAGGGATGCACCGCTCCCGTTGCCATAGGGATGTGTGAGGGATGCTGCTGCCATCTCCTGGATGGAACCCACAAGCGTTGCTACCACTCATCCTTTACTCCTTATAAAGGGATAAAAACTCAGAGAGGCTGTGGGGGTCTTGGGAACCTCCAAAAGCCATCTGAGCGTTGGCAGCCTGCTTTGGGTGTGCCTGCCTTCAGCCTAACCACGTGAATTCATAACGTTGGTGTTCGGTGGGCAACCTTATGGGTTCACATGGCTCGTGCCAATGGCCAAAGTCATGGTGGCAATGTTAAATGCCTGAATGGAGGAACACGATATACTGACTGCACCGGGTCACTTGAAGGAGATGAGAAATGCTTGCCTTAATGCAGGCTCTTCTATGCTCACAGCCTTCCTTCCATCTCCACCAGTGTCCTGCTCCCACTACGCCTTCCTCCAAGAGCTGATGCAAAGTGGGATCATAGAATGCCTTTGGTTGGCAAGGACCTTAAATCCTATCTGGTCCCAAGCCCCTGCTGTGGGCAGCTTGCCCCTGACCAGATCAGACCGTCCACACCCCATCCAGCCTAGCCTTGAAAGAGATGGAGCATGAGCTTTCAGATTGTCCAGAGGAATATCTTGTTAGCAGGAAGAGATAGAGGGAAAAAAAAATGTGTAATGCAAAACCTTCTGGTGCAGGAGGCAGCCCAAAGGTACCAGCAGAAGCAGAGCACCTGTGTCCTGCACCATGCACCCACGCTCCTGGCTGCAGGTTCTCTTGCCAGGCTGAAATGAGGCCATCTCTCTGCTGCATTCTCTGACCTTCATTTGATGCTGACAGAAAATTTTCTGGTGGACAAAGCAGAAATCTGTCATCTGTGGTGGCCCTGGATCCAGGTGACATCTGTCCCTCCTGCAGCTCTGGTCTGATTTGTCACTGAGCAGGCAGTGTCAGGCCACTGACATGGGTGACCAAGGGGAATTCTGAGTCCCACACTGCAGAACCATGTAGCAAAAATAAGGTCTGAGCTCTGAATCTCCATCAGATCCTCTATCAGATCCAAGCTTCAAGATCATCAAACCCAACCATCAACCCGACCTGCTGAGTCCCACCAATGAATCATGTCCATTAGTGCCATGCCCACACATCTCTTAGTTACCTGCAAGGACAGGGATGGTTATTCCACCACTGCTCTGGGCAGCACGTTCCAATGCTTGTCCACCCCCTCCATGAACAAGTTCTTCTGATATCCAATCCAAACCTCTCCTGGTGCAACTTGAGGCTGTTGTTCTGCTCGAGTTGCTGGGCCAGATCCACAGGAGCAGTGCTGAGCACAAGCATGGATCTGTGTTTGTTCCTCTGTCTCACCACCACACCAGTCTGCTTTGTAGTGAGAAGCCTTTTGAAGGCTTATTGTGATGACACGGATCAATATGGAGTGGAAGGGCTGAGAAGTGTTGGGGCAACCTCTTCTATGGATACAGATGCATCCATAGGGGTCATAAAGCGTTGGGGCAGGAAGGGGAGTTTTTGCCCCTTATTTTAAGAGAATTTAGAAAAGATTACAAGAATTAAGTCTCTACAGTACCTCAAGCACAAAACTTACCTGGACAGCAGCTCTTCTGGTCTGCTGGTGGGAATCCCTGCATTCAAGCCTAAAGTTGGCAGAAATGCTCAGTAGTTTGCTTCTGAGGTTAAAAAAACAACAGATCTGAGAGCCCAGAACATGGCTGCTTCTGTGCAGAGGGGAATATTGCAGCACTGTGACTCACTGCCAGCTTGTGACAGCCCCCACTTCCCTAGAAGGATCAACACAAAGTATCAGTTAAAAAGATCAGCCCAAATCCCCCAGAATCTCCCTGATATCCATAGCTACAGACAACAGCTGGAAGCCACAGGGCTGATGGGCTCTAAGACTCACATCACAAACAAACTAAACAGAAAGTTGTGACATTTGTTGCTTTTAAATTTTTTATGATGCTTCACATAACCTATATTGTGGGCAGCTGCTCTGTTCTTACACTGAGATGCATGAAAAAGAAGAGTTCTCCTTGATTAGATCTCACACAATGTGAAATGAAAACAGGGTTCTGAATTTAATTTTTTTGGCTTTTGCCTTCAGGTGGAATGGCAAAATTAGGACAAGCTCAAATGAGCTAGTAATTATTATTATTCCTTCCATGAACAACCAGAGTACCTTGGAGCTCTTGTACTCAGAGAGGAGCATGGTGATAAATGCTGCATAATGCATGGCTGAAGTTTAACAGAAAAGAGGAATGTTTTGTGCAGCAAGAAATAGGGGAATGTTCCAACACTTCCTAACAGTAACAGGAAATTGGAGAACGAATTATTTGAATACCTGAATTTTCCTGTTAATGCCAGACATGACAGGAGGACCAGGTGGACACAGATGAGCACGGTGGCTGGGTTCTGTGCTTGACCCCATAAAATTTTCCATGTACACGAACAGGATTCAAGATCAGTGCTCCAGGTGAGTCAGAAATGGCTGGATGAATCAGCCTCGGGTTCTCCTGCAGGACAGGAAGAGGTCAGGGCTTGTTCTGAACGCCAAGGAAGGAGAGGAAAGCACAGAGGGTGCCCTGCTGCCAGCACAGCACAGCCACGCTGACATCAACTGGGTTTCTTTGCCCTGGCTCACACAAGTCGTTGGCCTCTCAATGCACACACAGTAAAGATCAAATTGCACACAAAAAAATAACAAAGAGTGAGACTAAATGCTGATATGATGCCACTTAGGTCCAAAAAAAAAAACACAAAATGGAAATAGTGGATAAGGACTGCAGGACAGATTGGCTGCTGGCACAGAGTGACATCTTACCCTGACGATTCATCTGAGATAATACAGTCAAGCTAAACGGCGCTGGCTCTTTCACAGACCATCCCAAGCCCTGTGCTCCAGTTTCTGCACAACTCCACCACCTTAGAAACCAAATGGAAAGGGTTAGGGTCCAGCATGCAGATACAGTGATGGAAGAGTAGTCACCACTGGGGAATCACAGCTACACTCAGGTGCAGACTCTCAACAGGCGTAAGAACAGTACTTGAAGGGACACACAAGTCCAATCTCATCTTCCACAAAGACAGACAACAGATGAGATTTAGTGAAGAAAGAGCTACAAGATTTCTTCTGTTACACTCGAAGAAACACTTTGGAGTGATTCCAGGGGATTTAATGGAATACCTCCAGCCCTCCACAAGCACTGAAGTCTATGGTGGCTGGCTTCTCTTACACACACACACACACACACACCAAAACAAATGCACATTTCTCCAATTCTTTCAACAGAATTTATTTTACTGCAAAAATAGTTTAGGACAGAACCAGAAACATCATGGCAAAACCAAATGTTGAGTAATTCAGTGGCTTTAGAAGCCTCCCATCAAGTAACCTCATTGAGCTAAGTGGTGCAACCCAGTAATAATGACTTGCTGATCTTGCATACCAATGCATGGTGCTGTGCTGTAACCCAGCACTCTTGCATAGCATCACATTGAGCAGCAGTGCAGAGATGAGACAGCAATAAAACAATGGAAGGAAGCATATTTCCTATCTCATCCCACTGATAACACAGCTTTTAGCCTACTCAATTTACCTCTAACTTTGGAACAGACAAAACCAACTCCCTGTCCTCCCCAATTATTGTGTGGATACACAGATTCAGTTGAATTCAAAAAAGGGAATTAGCAAGCATCAATTAGGTTATTAAAAATAAATATTCTTATGCAGGAAACACACTGACCCCCTAGAATTAAGATATTAGTAATCATTTACTTGCAACTTTAATTGCATGATTCATACTGCCAGACCTTTTTAATACATCAAAAAAAACCAAAGGCCATGAAGTGGGGGTGTTTGGGGTCCCCAGACACACTGAGCCAGCTTGTACTTCACAGGATGAATCATCAGAACCTGGTTGCTATCAGAATCGTCCTGCACAATACGTGAAGCAAGTTAGCCTTTCCCTGGAGGTGTGTGTGCCCCTCAGCAGAAGACAAAACCCCAAAGCCTCATTTCCTAAGTTCTAATGTTCCAGGCTGCATTTATCACTGCCACAACATTATACTCTGCAAGTGCAGAGCAAGCCTGGCAAATTCAGAAAGGGGTCTGAACCAAATGTGTTTGATATAGGTTAGAATTTGGAAACCAGTATGGGTACAGTCACGTGAGAGTACCTGCCTAGATAAAGTAACTGAGTGCCAGTTAATGATATCCCTGGTGTACACATGCATCAGAGTGCTTAAGCCCCATGTTCTTGACTAGCTTATCTTGTACGAATTTTTTATCAGCCCTAAAAGAACCAAAAGCAAAAACTTCTGATCAATTCCTGCAGTTAATGCTTAAACAAAGCGTCCTATTATCTCCAAACACTGCACAGAGACTGGAAGGGTTCCTGTTTGCTTTTCGTTACGTGGTTTATTCATTAAAAAGTTCAACTCCTGCAATTTCTCACACCACAGTTTCATGCCACAGTTGGAGCAACAGCTTGGCTGTCAGGCTGGAGGTTGATCAGGGAATTGCTTGCTTGGACCAGCTCTGCAATGGATACTCGTCCTCTCTGTTTGATAAACTGAGCCACAGCAGCCATCTCCTCTGGTGTAATATAGATGAACTTTCCTCTGTCATCAATTACACCTACAGGGGAAAAAGAAAGGACCTTCAAGTCAGCACTTTGGTTCTTCTCACTTCCCAACAGACATTAGTTACTTCTTTCTGGAAGGGGCCTTTGAACTGCTGAGGCTGCATTTCGTATCTAGGGCAGGCAGAACAATGTGCTAGCAGTCAGTTAACATCTCTACTGTTGAGCTTTTGACAATACCCGAGTGCCTGGGTAAGACTAATTTTGTTCAGCAAGTAATGCATTTTTTCCCCCCCACTGTGTGCAGCTAGTTGGGAATATCACAGCAGTGCATTCAGGTACGTTGCATTAGTGTTGATATTCCAGGGTCAGACAGCCAACTGAGAAAGGAAAAGCAGAAGGACCCAGGCAATGAAATCTGGAGCCCCTCTGGGAGGTAATGAAGCTCAGCTTCCACATTTTGGTAGCTCCATCAAGAGTGAGAACTGACCTCTTTGTTCTCAATGTCTTATAGGATCACATGTAAAGCAGGGTGCCTTACTGGCAGATCTTTTAGCCAGGACAGTTTTTGATTCAGATCACTTTTAGGTCATTCAAGTGGGTATCCACATGTACCCATTAAAACACAGCTGCCACGGTTGGCAAACAACTATCAGGTCAGCAGTGTTTGCATTGGCACCTTCCCCTACTTCATCCTTGGGAAGAAAAAGACTGACCAGCAATAAAACAGCCTTGTTCAGACAGGGAGCTACCTACATGCTCAGTCTCTGCTTACATTCCAACCTCGAGTGCATAGGTACATAGTTAGAAACAAGCACTTCACTTATTACAGCTCCTAGTTTTGGAGTGCTCTGGGATGTTTGCTTCTCCCAGAGCGTGCCATGCCTCGATCCTTGTGGGTCCCTTTTAACTCAGGATATTCTATGACACCCCATATTAGCTTTAGCCACTGCAGTTTTAAAACAGGTGTGCAAACAAGCCTCAGGATACCCAAACAATTCCTCCAAATTTCAGATTTCAGAGGATGTAACCTGCTAGTAAACCCAAAGGCCCCTCAGCAGGGTTAATAACACGCCGAAGCCTCGTGCTGAAGCATTGGGAGCATTTACCCCCCAACTTCTGTAAAATATATCACTGAAGCAATTATCTCCCATATTGCTTTCAACAGTAGTTTCACATCTGCCAAAGCAGAAATAATACAGCTTTTGTTCAAATCCTACAAGGGTGCTCTCCAGTTTAAAATGGAAATTACACTGGATGTCTCTCTAGCACAGAGGAGACATTTTCTGCACCAGCTGAAGAATAGGTGTTGTGGCTGTCACCTGTTAGAGTGCCATCTGCCATCAGGTCCTGGATTCTGTTAATTGCATCCTGTTCAAAAAGGAAAAAGGAATAACCAACCGATCAAGAGGAAGGCACAAAACATTCTGCACGCTCAGACAAACTACAGGATGATGCTTACATTTAAATCCTCAGTGTTCAACACTTCAGTGAAGGATATACATTGGTGGTTCCACAGAGATGGATGTAGTGAGCCCTTTTTAGAAATGGTTTGGTCTTAGAAAGTCAAAGTGAGCTTCTGCAGCTTGGGGTGTTCAAATAACTTCCCTGCCAGCAAGGAGTATTTATTATTAAATTATCTGACTCTATCATGGAGGGGGAGCTAAACACATTTTCCCAAGGAAAGGCTGTACTGTGCCCATGCAACACACCAGCTCCAAGAAATACTGTGATGCACTTCTCCAAGAATCTGGCTACACTCAACACACTGCAGAGCTTTTTTGTTTTCCCTGCTCCATTTCAGAGGAAACAGCTCCTTACCAAGCCAAAGAGCAGCTTGTTGAGCTTATTGCTGAGTTAACTCTATGGTTACTCCAAGCCCACTGTTCTGCTGCACCTAGAACTGGTATCTGTGTGCCAATAACCTTGGTTTCTGCAGTCCTGCCCGCCTCTCTCCCACCAGCATTTACAGGACTGCAGAAACAAGCTAGGGCTTGGATTTCAACTTTAACTGGGCTCACTGCATGCAAATTAAGTTCTAGGAAAGCAGAGAGAGGCAGGGGGCAGCACAGCCTGGATGTACAGCTCTCGATTCCCAATTATCATGAATTGCTCTATTAAAAGAGCTGCAAAAATCTGTACAATCCATTGGCCAACAAGCAGCCACTCAAGAGCCACACTCTGCCCTTTTCACTAACATCCCTGTGAGCCAGCAATCTTCTGTGGCTCTCTGATGAATATCCACTTTTTAGGGCTGAATCCACTGAACTCCACCAAAATAATGCCAGAACAGTAACACAAACAGTACCCTTAAGTAACCACTTTCTCTCTTACCCTTTTAAAGTCATTGTTTGTTCTTGTACCCCAAAAGGTAGCACTTACCTGAGTTCTTAAGCCCATATGTGAAGCTAAGTCCTCCAGCTGAATTACCTTTGTTTTCTATGGAAACAAACAACAGTTACATGCAGCTGAGGAATTAGAGGGTTAGCAAAACATACAAAATAGAACCTGCCCTTCTTATCCTAGTAGGCACTTTTCTGTGCTTAAAAAAAACCCCTTTAACTTACATTATTTAAACCAATCTGCTCAGTGCAAAGACTGGATGCTCTGACCCATTTAAGTGAAGGCTCAAATACATTAGCTAACATCCTTGAGTACATCCCCAAGAGCCTTACATGTATGGCCACACTTACATTATTGGATGTCATACTAGTGATAAATGCATTTGTTTCTGATCTTGAGAGTACACTGAAGAATTAAACAGAGGCTGCGATAGAAGAATCTTTTTCATCAGCAAAATCAAAGACTTAGTAGTTGTGAAGTTTGATGCAGCCAAGCTAGAGAACTGAATACCATGGACTGAAGGCATGGAATTGAAACCAGTCCATGGAATTCAGTTCTCAGAGCTGGGAACTGCCAAGATTCGTCACATCTTCTTTTAAAAGGAGAGGGGGTGCAAAGTCATTACATGAGAAAACCAGGCTTTACACCTTTGCTTCAAGATGTTTGCCCTCAGTGACAGAGCTCACTGGAAGCTTTCTAAGACAGCTCCTGCTGCGGGTAGCAGAGCAGAGGATGGGATGGAATGGGGATCCAGTCTCCACCCACTCTGAAATATAGCAACACTGCGAGGTCCCAGCTCAGCAAAACACCACAGATTTCATGTTTTAAAGACAGGCTTAACTCTCACAGAGCAATATCCATCCATCCACACTTCACCACATTCATTTCACTTCACGTATTTTTTTCTGCAGCTGTCTCCAACAAGGCGCGAACCAGAGCAAGGGCTCCCAGAATTAAGACAGACAGAACCTTTTCTCTTATTTCTACATAGGAAGCCAGGTGTCAAAGCACTTCTGAATTTGGTTCTTCAGCCTGTGCTTAATTTCTCTGACGTCAAGCCAAAGTGACTAATATACAACTACATATGTGCTTAAACACTGAACTGAGATTGTGTGACTAATCTGTTCCATCCATCACAGCCACCAGGGCAACGTGCAGAACCAGAGCCTATTGTATCAGCCCCTGGAAACCCTTCCAATTTCAGTGGAAGATCCCAAGGAACACCGACACAAGTTATGTTTATTAATAAAGAGCAGCATATTTTCCTGAATCCAGAGCTTGGCTTGCAAGACAGTGCTGTA